ATATATATATATATATATATATATATATGTATATATATATATGTATATATATATGTATATATATATATATATATATATATATATATATATATATATATATATATATATATATATATATATATATATATATATATATGTATATATATATAATGAATATGTATGCATCATATAATATATTGATTGCACTTTGCAATGACATCGCAAATGGTGGACGTTTTTTTCAAACCGTTGAAAATAACTTTTTAAAAGGAAAAAAGTAAAAAAGAAAAGAAAACATTTATAAATTAAACTAAAAATGAAATCAACAAAAAGAAGAATAAATAAATCTTGTAAAAGAAGAAAAGAAAAAGAAACATCTGAAAGAAAATAAGTAAAAAACTTACAAAAATAGATGTTAAAAAAAAAACGTTAGTGAATGAAATATAAAACAATGCCAAAGAATGAAAAAAAAAACAATTTAAAGAGATGAACTTCGATCGGCAAATCTAGATTTTTATTTATTTTTTATATATTTTTTTAGCTTTCTTTCATATATTTCTTAGGATTATTTATTTTATTATTTATTTATTTTTCTTCAATTTTTTAGCGTATATAGTTTTACTTGTTGTTTTTTGTTAGTCATTTGTTTGTTTTTTAGTTATTAATTATTTTTAGTGGTATATAAATTTTTTATACAGTTATATATTGTTTGTTTTTATTTTCATTTTTAGCCATTTATTATATATGTTTAATTCTACCGTTTATTGTTATTATCTTTTTTAATTTTAAGTTTCTTTGATACTTATAACTTAGTTACACTTAAAAATTAAACTCAATTTTCTTTTCTTTAAATATTGTATCGATTATAGTTTAAAGATCATAGAGTATAGAATATAGAAAACTTAAAAAATATCTTTAAACGATAAATAACTACACAAAATTAATAATCTCAAAATAATCAACCAAAACAAGTAGACATATTTAATTAACCGAGTTAGCGCATAATATTGTATGCGCCAAGTTGATAATACTAATTTTTATACTTATTTCTAAGGTACTTAGGACGTCTAATGTAGGTTTTAGCGACGTCAATAGGACGTCTAAATATGGAAGTCCTCATCTAATAGGCTGGCGCAGATGTATTTTTAATACATTGTTTCCAGTTTAGGATGTTGAACGCTGGATCTTCTTGACTCAATGCGTGGGTATTGCTTGTGTCTCTATTTTTATGACTGGGCAACTCATTCTATTATCTCCTAATGAGGGTACAGCTCTAAAACTCAGTTTTATGGTTCTGAGGCCGGCTGGTAGTCAGGTTTCCCGAACTCTGTGGTAGCTCTCAGAGAGGCTGATTCCATCAACAGCCGATAAATATCAGAGTACTAACAGTGCCATGTTGCGCATGGATGGTGTCCCTGTTTGTACTTTTGGTGTGCATTGCAGAGGCCACATTTGGAGCCCTTTGCTACGGCTTAGGGTTTATTAATAGTAATGAGGCTATTGCTTAGTTGTTAAATAGTGTACTGAGTACTATCTATACTTGAGTCAAGTTCTTTATAAATTTAAAATGACTAAAGTACCTAAAACTAAAAAACACAAAAAACCATCGTCATCACCAAGTTCTCTAAACCTATCATTTACTAATATTCGTGGTCTTCGAAGTAACTTTTCTTCTGTTGAGTCTTATCTCTTGCAAAGTTCACCAGACCTACTTGCTCTTTGTGAGACTAATTTGAGTTCGGTTGTCCCATCTTGTGATCTTAGTGTTGATGGTTATCTTCCTTTAATTCGTAAAGACTCCAATAATCACATGCTTGGCCTGGGCATCTACATTCGTAAGAACTCACCCATTTGTCGTGAAACTAGGTTTGAATCTACAGACTATTCATTTATGTGCTTTCGTTTAGCACAACTTCACTCTATCGCCTTTCTCTTTGTTCTATAACGCTCTCCTTCATCCCAAGATTGCACTATTCTTGATGTTATTTCTGATCAAATTGACCAAGCCCTCTCTCTTTATCCATCGGCCAATATCGTCGTTGTTGGTGACTTTAATGCCCATCACACCGATTGGCTTGGCTCTAGTGTCAGTGACTCTGCTGGCGTTAAGGCCCTCAACTTTTGCCTTTCTCAATCTCTAACTCAAATAGTCAACTTTCCAACTCGTTTTCCAGACAACCCTAATTATTTACCTTCTCTACTCGACTTATGTCTTGTTTTGGATCCTAGTCAGTGCTCAATTTCTCCACATTTACCCTTAGGTACTTCTGATCACGGTTTGAAATCTCTAAAACTATTATCAAATTCTTCTACTTCATCAGAATCCCCCTATTATCGTACCACATACAACTACCTTAAAGCTGACTGGGACTCTTTCCGTGATTTTCTTCGTGATGACCCTTGGGTAGAAATCTTTCGTCTTCCTGCTGACAAATGTGCTTCTTACATAACTTCGTGGATTCAGGCTGGCATGGAATCTTTTATTCCCTCTCGACGATTCCAGGTCAAGCCTCACTCTTCTCCTTGGTTTTCCTCACATTGCGCTGCAGCAATTCTAATCGAAACCGTTACTTCCATATCTATCAGCAAAACAATTCTCCAGAAAACAGACATCTGTTCACTATCGCCAGAAACCATTGTAAAAAGGTTTTGTCTGACGCCAAAGCTCGCTATTCCCAGGTCATTAAATCTCGTATCTCATCACAAAAATTAGGCTCTCGAGACTTCTGGAGAATCTTTAACAGTATCAATAATAAGGGCAAATCTGTTATTCCTTCTCTCTTGTATGTTTCAGACTTTGTCACCTCACCTAAAGACAAAGCTGAATTGTTTGCTAAGAACTTTTCATCAATATCATCTCTTGATTCCACTAGTTGCGTTTTACCTGACATAGCCGTCAAACAGGTTGATCCCTTGCTTGACATTCGCATCACTTCAGCTTCTGTATCTAAAGTAATTTCCTGCTTAGACTCTTCAACAGCTTGTGGTCCTTACAACATTCCTGTTCTAGTCTTGCAGAGGTGTTCTCCGGAGCTTTCATCCATACTTTCTAAACTATTTAACAAGTGCTTATCAGAGTCTTGTTTTCCATCATGCTGGAAAGCAGCATCTGTTATCCCTATTTTCAAAAATTCCGGAGAGCGATCTGATTCATCTAACTACCGTCCCATTAGTCTTCTTCCTGTCATAAGCAAGGTTTTTGAATCTTTAATCAACAAACACTTAATCTCTCATCTTGAATCAAATAACTTACTTTCTGATCATCAATATGGATTTCGGTCTTCTCGTTCTACAGCTGATGTGCTAACAGTAATAACCGATAGGTTTTACCGTGCATTAGATAGAGGTGGAGAGGTTAAGGCTATCGCACTTGACATTTCTAAAGCTTTTGATAAAGTTTGGCATGCTGGTCTTCTCCATAAGCTTTCTTCTTATGGTGTAGCTGGTAACGTCTTTAAGATTATTGAGTCCTTTCTTTCCAATCGTAGTATAAAAGTTGTCCTCGATGGACAACACTCTTCTTCACATCCTGTAACTTCAGGGGTTCCTCAAGGTTCAATCCTTGGCCCTATACTCTTTTTAATTTACATTAACAATCTTCCAGATATTCTCACATCTAAGGTGGCATTATTCGCTGACGACACTACCATTTACTCTTGTCATGATAAGAAGCCTACACTCTCTGATTGCTTGGAGGGGGTATCTGAGCTTGAAAAGGATCTCACTTCTGCTACAGCATGGGGCTAACAGTGGCTGGTGAACTTTAATTCAGATAAAACTCAATTTTATTCGGCCAATCGTTATCGTAATAATTTAGATCTTCCTATATTTATGAATGGTAATGTACTAGATGAGTCATCTACCATTCATCTTCTAGGATTAACTCTTACTTCTGATCTTTCTTTTAAACCGTATATCAAATCCATTGCAAAATTAGCATCTGCTAAGGTTGCATCTCTTTATCGAGCTCGACACTTTCTTACTCCAGATTCTATTCTCTATCTCTATAAATCTCAAATCCTTCCCTGTATGGAATACTGTTGCCACATCTGGGGCGGATCTTCTAATGATGCTCTTTCTCTTTTAGACAAGGTGCAAAAACGAATTGTAAACATAGTTGGACCTGCTCTGGCAGCCAATCTCCAACCTTTGTCACATCGTCGTAATGTTGCTTCTCTTTCTCTTTTCTACAAATACTATAATGGGCACTGCTCTAAAGAGCTAGCGTCCCTTGTGCCATCTACTAAAATTCATTCTCGTGTTACTCGCCATTCAATTAAGTCTCATCCTTTTTCTGTGACTGTTCCTAAGTGCTTCAAAAACTCTTATTCTTCTAGTTTTTTTCCTCGAACATCAGTTCTTTGGAATTCGCTTCCTTCATCTTGCTTTCCTGATTCATATAATTTGCAATCTTTTAAGTCATCAGTCAATCGTTATCTTGCTCTACAGATTTAGTCTTTTCTCTTCCAGTAACTTCCAACTCTTATAGTGGTTGCTTGCAGCCTTGTTGTAAGTGAAGATGTTAAAAAAAAAAAAAAAAAAAAAAAAAAAAAAGTCCTACCCAGCGGGCACAGACGTTAATCAAACGTCTTACGGACATCTTAACTAGGTCGCGACGTCTCAGACCAAAATAGGACGTCCTAAAGACGTCTGGTAAAGACGTCATTGTTAGGACGTCCCTGTTACGTTAATATAAAGACGATATCAGGACTTCTATAATTAAACGTCCTATTGACGTCGCTAAGACCTACATAAGACGTCCTAATTACCTCACAAAATAAGTAGAAAAACTAATACTATCAACTTGGCGCATGCAATATTGTGCGCAAACTCGGTATTTAAATGTCTACTTGTTTTGGTTGATTATTTTAAGACTATTATTTTGGGTAAGTACATGATTCCATAGCGTAAAGTTAGGTCCCGTAAAATGTTCCGCAATTGTCCCGCTTCACGTTCAGGACAGAGTTAACATAATTAATTTTTGCATTTATAATTTAATTTATGAAATAATTAATATTTTTTAAATGTGGAGCACGTTTTCACCTGGTTATCGTCGAAGATTAAATTTAAATTGGTAAAAAAATTGTTATTAGAGATAATGATAATTTAAATTTATTAGAAAAAACAACATTGAGTAGAGGTAATACAAGACATTTTAACTTTTCTAGACAAAATATTTTAAATTTTGAATATAAAAAGCTTATGTTGATGTTTGTTTTACTTCTCGTTTAAAAACATTTCTCAGGAATGACATTCCTGAGAAATTAAAAAATTTAAAAACATGTTTTTAAACGAGTAATAAAATATAAGCTTTTTATATTCATAATTTAAAATATTTTGTCTATAAAGGAATTTTCTTTACAAGCACGCTTTAAATGAAGTATCAGTTTCCACGTTTGTATGTTTGTTACTGTTTAAATTTTTTTAGTTGTTATTTCTCAAGAAGGAAGTTGGGTTACTGTAGAAACATACGTTGAAGTACTTTTTTTGATACATAGCTACGAAACAGAGGCTGTATCAAAGTTTTCATGCTATAGTGCTGCTAAAAACTATGGAAATATGGGTTTGACAATTTTAATTAAGTGTTTTTAAAATGCAATTGCTAATTTTAATTTTCTTTTATATTCGTATAGTTATTATTGAAAATATAATTGTTGTTGTTATCTTTAAAGATTCTTCTGCAAAACACATCAAAATAAGATGATTCAATATCATTTAATGGGACTCCCTTTATGGTTTTAGGATGTAAATTGCTTGATTGTATGCACGGGAATGATAGAAAAGCCTCTTCTAAAGAAGTTTATAAAATTCATTTATTATTATAATATGTTTTTCTTTATCAATTTGTTTCCAAAATAGCTCCTGTATTTAATGATTATATGTCTAAACCTTTTATTTTTGTTCTTTTGTCTAATTTTCTTAATAGGTATCAGATCACAGTTTTTCAAAAAGCTATTTGCTATATTTTAATTTCTTGGTCACCAAGAAATTTAACTGTAGTTTTCAAATTAAAATTTAGAAAGTTTAAAAGTTCCCAAGTTTTAAGGTTTTATTTCTTTGTTTGTTTAATTTATATTAATGAAATGAGATTTAAGTCAGTCCTATATTAACTATTCAAGACATACATGCATCAACTTAAAATATAACCAATTAATTTATGCTAATTCTTTTTAAAATAAACTTTGTTTTAGATAGCTGAGGATACTAAATTTAGAACAGTGCAATTCTCAAACAGTATTAAAGATGCTTTGTCAAGAAATAAAGTAGTAAGGGAAAGAGTGTTTTCAGTTTGCTTTCCTTCAAAAAGTTCTCATTTTGGTCATTTTACTAGAGATGTAAGATTTCTTTTTTCTTTTTTGTGTAGATAAAGTTAAACAATAGATTTTAAAAGAAAAAAAACATTAAAGACTTATCCAAATTAATTTTCATTTCTTGTTTGCCTGTTTTAAAAATCTTAAAGTTAGTTTATTATTTCAAACATGTTATTTAACTTGTTTTGTCATATAACATTTATTAAATTTTAACATTTATATTAATATGTTTCCATTTATTTAAACCAACAACGATAAGGTTGTAGTAAATCTTAATTGCTATTTTTATTGCTGTTGTTTAGGAACTTTAGATATAATATTGTTTAAAATATGTATAAACTTTTTTGTGTTCAGTATATTAAGTATATCATATTTAGTATCTTGATCCAGATTACTTAAGGCCTTAAATTTAAATGTCTGCTCCTACTGATGGTTTTGTTGTATAGTTTATATAGTTTATATAGTTTATATAGTTGTTATATAGTTTATATGGTTTTGTTATAAAGTATGTTCTTGTACTATTTCTAATATATGTAATATTGTTCATACAAACTTCAATATTTTTACAAGGGGTGGGTTTTGTCACTCACCAAGGAGGTGGCTAAAATGGTTTTTAAAAAAAAAGGTCTGCATTTTTTCACTTAAAAGTGACTTTCTTTTTTAACTTTTTGTACTTTAGTGTAATAATCAAGTTCATATATGTATAATTACCTATAATAGTCAATTACCAATAATAGTCAATCCCAATGGGGGGGGTCAACTACCCCCATGCCCACCCTAAAACTTGCCACTGATTTTCACAGTCTGCTGAAGCTATTAAGTGTATCAATGAAGAGAACTAATCTATCAATCATTTTTACAAGCAATCAATAAAATATCTCATTGGAAGTAGGAAGAAGGAAGCTTGTACTATTGTAAAATAAAATGATATCTGTTTCTGTAGCATTATATATATTAAAGTGTACTTTATTTTAGATCAAATTGCATGATTTCACATTTATCCTTATTAAAACTGATTAGCCTTTTTTTTTTCCAGTTAAATAAGATGTTAAGATCAAACTGTGTAGAGTGATTTATTATTATTTATTTTTTTTCTAATTGAGTTATTTTCTAAATTTTCAAAATAATTTCAAAAATTTCAAATACTTCTTGGAATATGTATCTTAAATATGGAATTCATATTTTAATAAAGATATAAATTTTATCGAAAAAGTCCAACAAAAAGCCGCAAAAATTGGCTACTAAAGAAAGGGAGCAAGTTACGAGCAAAGATTAAAAGAAATGGGCTTACAAAATCTATCAAATAGAAGAGAAAACAGCGATCTCATTAAAATGTTTGAACTTATAAACAACCATGATATTATCAGTTAGAACTGCATTCCACAAGTATTGGGTAGGTTTACAGAGGCCGCAATCAAAGGTCGAGAAGACATCTTATTAAAAACTTTTTGTTGAGACCAATTTTTTTACAAACCATATACAGTGGGTTCCCAAATTATTTGGGACACTTCACTTTTTAAGTAATTTTAAAGTTTAAATGATTTTTGCAAGCAAATAAATTTTTTTAAATAAAAAGTTTTGAGCGTACTATAGTCACTAATATAACTATAGTTGTTTTTAAACTGTGGCAATTTGTGATAACCCAATCTGTCTAAAAGTTAGGTTATTACTCAATTAGCTGTCAACTTTTGAAAAGTGTGGTTGAAAGTCAAAAATTCAAAATTGATTTTAGTTACTTATTTTTGGAACAATTTTTTGCAAGTTTTTTGAGTTTAAAACTATTGAAATCTAAATATTCGTTAATAGTTCAATTAGCTTAGTTATTAATTTAGTATTTTTGCTACTTTTAATGCATAAATCCCTGACATACAACTATTCTTACCTCTCGTTAATTTTTTTAGTCTCCAGACTGAACCCCCCAAAAAAACAGAAAAGTAAAAACCTTACTTCTTCATTCTACACATCCTCAGAGAGAGATTGCGAGCGTTTAAAAGTCAGTAGTGAGTCGAGTTTAAAAAAAAAATGATACAAATGTGACTCTAGAACCAGACCATGTCAGCTAAAGTGGCAGGAAAGGATCACTACTCCATGTTATGACTGTAAATTTAAAGACATCTGTCTTGAAAACAGAAAAAAAAGTGTGACTCAACTAGCTATAATTATAAACAATGAAGGAATTAACGTCTCCAAAAGGATGGTTCAGGGACGGTTGGTTAAAGAGAATTTAGTGTGTTATCGTCCAACCAAAAAAAGAATGTTTAACTGAAGCCATGAAAAAAAAGCGACTGGAATGGGCTAGAAAACACCAGAATATGAATATTGAAGACTGGAGTAGAGTAAATATAATTTATAATATTGTAAGAAACCAGAAAAATTTAAGGATAAATATTTATTTTTGAAATATCTTTGAAATATTTTGCAGGTCAAATATCTTTGAAATGTTTTACAGGTCTGCTTCTCGGACTAATCAGCATTTCAAATTTTGATGGACAAAAGCTCATTTGTTCGACGATGCTCAGAAAAAAAATTCACTAGGACTGCCTTTTGGAAAAGGTTCAAAATCCTGTGAGTGTAGGGGTGTGGTCTGTGATCTCAGCCAAGGGTATGGGCTGCCTTTACATTGTGGAAGGAACCATGAAGCAGGATTGGTCCTGCCATATGGTACCTTCCTACAAGCAGTTACTGGAAAACAGGCTCCTGCTCCAGGTCTAAGAATGGTTCCCTGGTAATGAAGAGTATATGTTCATGCATGACTCAGCACCGTCCCATAAAGCTAGAAGTGTTACAGCATTCCTAACTGAAAAAAAAGTGCATGTTTTGCCATGGCCAGGGAATTCACCTGATATTAACCCTATAGAAAATTTATGACAGTTCATAAACAGAAAATTGCCAAAAAAAATTATCACTACCAAGCAGCAATTGATAGAAACCCTTATAAGAGAGTGGAATAGCAACCTCAGTCTCCAACACAATGCAGAAGTCTACATAGATAGCATGCCCAGATGCCTGAAAGCTGTTATTGTAGCTAAGGGTGGCATTACAAAATATTAAGATTATTACCTTATTTGTCATGTTTTCAAACTTTTTATAAAAAAATAAATAGCAATGAATAGGTAATTATGTTGTTTTATATTCTAAATAAAACTCTCTACCAATAAAAACAATAAAAAAAATAACAATAAGATACATATTTATTCATTAAAGTAGTTTGTACTTTAAAATCACTTAAAAAGTAAAGTGTCTCTAATAATTTGGCAACCCACTGTAGTTAAAAAGTGTAATTGTTTGCATAGAAAAGTTGTCAATGCCATTTCAGTAATTGATTTCAAGAAAAAGTTTAAAGAATTTAGCTTTGATGAATTCGTTGATGATTTTTCAAGATTTTTTTTGTATTACTTTGTTGTGATATCTTTCTACCATTAGCATCTATCTACCTTTTGATATCCATCTATCTTTTAGAGATCATTGCCTTAAAAGAATTATTTCAAAATAATGTGTGTCCAATAAGATCAAATAAAAAGTTCTTCCTATCAAATAAAATTATTTGTAATTATATGCTTTTGGTGTCTAATTATATAAGTTGTACATCAAAAAAGTCTTGTGTGTTCTTTTAACAAGTGGCTGCAAATGTTTATAATGTATTTGTTACATTCAGAGTTGACACATTTTTGTTATTTTAAATTTGTTTATAATGTATTTATTACATTCAGAGTTGACACATTTTTGTTATTTTAAACTTCTAATTACTGTTAAGTTATTAGAAAATAAAGAATAGAGTTAAAGAGTAACAATTCGGTTGACACAAGACTTAAAAATTTGAAGGCTGTATGAGTTAGAAAAACATGATTACAGGAGAAAGTTCCAAAGGGTTCAATTAAGGGGAAAAAACTAAACAAATAAAAATTTTTATGGCATACAGGGACAGATACAGTAAAGAGGTGAGACTTTGCTAAATGACGAGTCAAGCAAAAATGAGTTTATGGAACTAGAGATAAAAGCTCCTTTAAGTAGGGACCATGTTAGTATTTGTAGAATAGAGATGCAACTTGACGACGTTGAAAGAGAGGCTCTAGTTTGACAGATAGAGCAGGTACTACACAACTACATTTACAATGCATATTTGGACCTTATCTTGAGAAATAAGAGCATCATTGGAAGAACCAGTCTAAATATGACAACATTATTCCAAACAGGGGCAAAAAAGAGATTAGCAGAGGTAAAAATGAAATCGGGAGTAAGAAAATGGCAAGCACGATAAAAAGAAGCAACTTTAGCAGCTGCTTTTTGATTTGTATTTGCATTTAGCAATCAATTGTATTTATGGTTTCCATGAAGGGTCATAAGTGAATGATAATCCGAGAAGAGGACTCAGTGAAGGGTTTGCTATTTATCAATATAGGAATGTCAACAGTATTGCTATTTGTATAATATAGTTATTTGTAGTAAATAACTAAGTTTGGTTGAAGTAAATAACTAAGTTTGGTTGTAGTAAATAACTAAGTTTGGTTGAAGTTAAAATTCACAAGCCATGCAAGCCTCAATCTGTTACAGAGGTTAGATCAGATTCAAGATTGAATTTTTGTCAAGGTAGTAGTATAAAGTTGAGTCACCAGCGAATAGAGCCACTTTAGATGTAAGGTTGCCAGGAAGATCACTAATATAGATAAGAAACAAAACAGGATTAAGGATAAAACCTTGAGATACCGCAGAAGTTACTGGAAATGAAGAAGAGTGTTGGCATTTAAGGATGACTTTAAATAAGTGGTTCAAATATTTATGATTTTTATAAAAACTGGAGTATATAATTGTATCATTTCAAACCCAGATCCATGGCTTATAAAGCAAGCTCTCTAACCACTAATATATAAATATA